CATGTGATGCAGAGATGGGAGAAGCTGATGTACAGCTTGGCAGTGTTCCGGTATTGCACGAAAATACAACCACTTCTCAGATTAAGTATGTTTCTCATAATACAATTTGTACAGACACAAACTTAATTCTAAACCAGAATACTTCTGTATGTAAAAGATCGGATTCTGTTCATAACTCTGATGCAAACATGGGAACTGGTTTTCAGAAAATAGAGGTAAATAAGCATGTATCAAATGTTAAAAGTACCGAAGTGAACTGTACACATGATGCAAATAACCAACAGAGTGGTGAAGAAACAATTCAGTTCTTCATAGGGATGAAAAGTCTGAAAGGACTGATTTTTCAGACTGTGATATGCATAACAGAAATAATCTGAGAACTGCAGTGAAAGAGTATTTGACCAAGTATAACTTAATGTAAAGCCTGAGGCTAAAATTCATTCTGAACTTTAATTTATAAAATTTAAAATTGGTACCTGGTTAATTTGTATGTATAACTTGTAAATAGTGTAAATATTTGTTTCTTTAGTTATCTCATTTAATTGTTTTATTACCTTTTGTTTGTATCAAATTTCGTTTCTGATCAAGTATTGTACTGTCCGGTACGTGCAGTCCTGGGGAGGGAGCAGTGTTACGAAATGCCCAACCGCGGTAAGATAGGTTCCCCGCAAAGAAGGTTTAGGGTTTCCAGAAAATGGCAAGGGAAGACAGAATTGCCATATTTGGCGCGAAATTTTGGTAACAAAATCGGTGATATGCCATAGCCGTTTGGAGAACATTCTAGAACGAATTCTTACCGGTTTGCCCCAGAATGTTCTCGAAGGGAGGCCGAAAGCTATATAAACCACGTCTGTAGGCAGAGTAACAGTCTTGTGCGTTCAGCGCCGAGAGCGAACGACCGAGTCGGGAGCTGTACTCTAGTGCTTTGCCGTGAAGCTGTCTTCACCATTATACCAGTATAGCCTGAAGGCTATCTTGCTGATTGTTTCAGCGTGTTTGTTGTAGTTTTTCGGCGACTGTAAACGTTTTTTTTGAGAGCTGTCCTGAGTAATACAGGCCAATAAATTGTGCTTTCATTCTTCATCAAGTTAATCACTCCAAATCCACCAACCCGAAAGAATGCAGCAATGTGCTCATCATTGCAAGGAGTCTGTAAAAAAGGTTACGTGGATGGAAGAAAGCAAGTTGAGTATAACTGATATTTAATTTTTTGCTATTTGTGAGTGTCTGAAACTGGAACGAATCTGTTTATGAATGAGGTGAATAAAAATTCGAATAAAACTGTGGCTTATTAGAGGAATTTTTGAACAGAAATGTGTGTATGGATGTATGGATGAGAAAGAATGAAATGATTCATTTTTCTAAATACTTCTTCACCAGCATACTGGCACTGGTATGGTTGTGAAAATTGATGAAAGTAGATTTGGTAAAAGGAAATATAATAGGAGTAAAAGGGATATAGAAAGCGGGTGTTTAGTGACACTGAAAAGAGGAGATGGAAGTTGTTCTGAGGATGTGGATGATCACACGAAAGAGACTTTATTGGAGGTGATTTTTTGAAAATCATACCTGGAACTACGATTTTCTCCGACTGCTGAAAAGCCTATTATTGCCTCGTAATTAAGGCTTCGATCAGTGAATCTATCCCCGATGTATAAATTTCATGAAACTGGCGTCCATACTGGGATGTTTACGGCGTTGTTTTGGGCCACAGCCATCTTGGAAACATTGCTTTTTGGCAGAGGGAAAAAAAGATATTAAGGGGCACCGGATTGTAAATTTTTACAACTAATCAACGTATTTGTCTCGTTTTTATCCAAGACGAATGTTAAGCATGGTCAGGTACGTCATTTAAACGCTATGTTCTACAGATAAATCTACTGTCTACTGCATTTATGAATAAACATGCTTAGATTTAAGAGATGTACCTGGGAACAACACTTTGTTTTTGATAAATTAGTAGAACAAGCTATAATTTTGTGAAAAATGTCTTGATGTGAGCTCACTGTAATATTAAAATGAGAAATAATGTCTGAACCAAGGCTATTTGTTTAAAATCGTTTTCTCATATAACAACGTTCTGTGTGATGTTGTTCAGATGGCAACACAAATTTCACTTTCTTTTTTTTTTTTGCCCTATAGGCGAAAGCGTTTCCCGCTCTTAACACCTTATCTAATGCCACCGCCTTAAGGTTGCAGTTCCAAAGCTTAGGTAAATAGCAATTTCTTGCTAAAAGGCCTGGAATACTATTACGTTCCAATTTTCAAGTTTGATATAACAATGATTTTTATAAGCTAATTATTCTGAACTTCCGTTCTTTTCATTTAAATTTCATGACGTATACATGTTACGGTGAAACACCGAAATTTGGAGAATGTCGACTTTCACCGGTGAATGTCAACATTCACATAGTCGCTTGGTGTATGTCCGAAATATTTTCCAAATACTCTTATTTCTGACTTACACCGGTGAATGTCGACATTCACCATGTACTAATGGTGAATGTTGAACGTATAAGAATATTATATTTCCTTCTCCGTAATTCATTCGCGAAAAAATGCACTTGAGACTCAGAATAAGAACTTAAGAATATAAGAACTTAAAACACACAGTACATTCAAAATGAGAAAGGAAAATAATAGAAGTTATAAACTTACCAAATTATGCGATTCAAATCTTATTTATTGCAACAACTTAAACTATTATGACACTTTGAATTGCACAAGAGGCCCTTGCTTTTACAACTGCATTTATTTGTGGAACACTTCCTTTTGGAATGGCAGCGTGTACATATACTCCTCTCTTTTCGACCTACACCAGAGCATATCTGTGATTGTCGACATACACCGGTGAGGGTCCGAATGTACAAGAATGTAAAGAAATATTCGATCTTTCATCGATGTATTTGGTGAATGTTGACATTCTCCGGTGAAAGTCGACATTCTTCAATTTCGGTCTTTCACGGTAACATACATATAAAAAAAATTACAGACAAGTAAATCAATCACATCAATTCATAATATATGAATTTATTAACATATTCATATGCAAAAAACATTAAATTAATGTTTGAGTCTGTATACAAATTTTTGCTGATATTCAATAGAGAACAATAACGTAAGAAATTAAAATTTGTCTTCATTTCCTTGTGTACAAACAGCATAAAATTCATCGAATGTTTGTTGAAATACCAGGGGAGTCACCACATCACATGGTAGAATTTAATAATGCATAAATCCACTAGTATAGCCATATTTCAATTGTTACTTTCATAATGAATATGCTAAATATATAGTATTTCATTACGTGATAAAAAACATACATATACATGATGCGATTTTTCTAAATTATGTTTGTATAATCATTTCATCTTAATCGTCATTTCTTATCTTACTTTTTCATGCAGATCACAGTTAATAAATTCAAAACCTTCAGCAGTATACGCAGCTTTTCTTGTAGGAAGATATCATTATTATTCAAAAACACAAAGGTTACGCAAGTCACTTACAATATAAGTTATCTGTAATTGTTTTCTTCGGCCGCTGATGATTGTTTCAACTAAAAGAAGAAATGAGTAAGAAAATGAGTTTATGAGTGAGGTTCATTTTAAGCGAAACGGTTTTACGAATGAAGATGGATATGGAATCATCGATATTCTTTAATTTCTTGACTGTATATTGTTTTTTCGGATATTTTATTTGCTTTATTACTGTGATCAAATGATTCATTTAAAAAAAAGAAGTAAGCAAGATATTGATTACTTTTTTTTTTTCCCAAGAAGTTGTTAGGATGTTCATGGATAATTTGTATTTCATTTCCTTTTTATCGTTGGCAAATAAATTCTCTCTTAAGGAGAAGCACATTTTTTAACTTTTGTATTTGCTTGAAATGGCGAATGTCATTTAGCAAAGAACATGCATTGAATTTTTTTTCCGAGATTGAATTTCTATTTTAAAAATGTTTGAAACGTTTCAAAAAGGATTTAAGGGGAACATTTTATCTAAATCAGAAGAATTTTAATGGTATAAGATGTGTAAGAAAGGCACAGAATGTGAAGAGGAATCACAGTCTGGTTGATCAGTGGTCTTAAACTGCATGCGGGCCGAATGCATAATCATAAAACAGCTGACAAGTCATTTTTTTTTACTTTTTAATAACTGAAAAATTCTGTTAACCAAAAAAGAAACTTCACTTACTAAATATTTATTAAAACATACATAAACAATAATAATAAAGCAAAAAAGGAAAGGAAAAAAATTCATATTTATTTTGTATCAGAAATCTAAAGTTTGGTACCTGCTAAACAATTTTGTCAGTTACACTTTGTAATTCAAATATATTGATAGTTTAATATTAAAATCCTACACTGGCACTTTTTTCGGATAATTTTAATATGTTTAATGAATTATGAAGTAACTCATTTTAATTTAAACTAAAAATAAACATATTAGGAAAACTTTCTAAAGTTTGAAAGAAAATCTACCAAGTGGGGAACAAAACTGGAGAATAAATAATAACAATCTAATTTCTTTCTCTTATTTATGAAATTTTTTTCGGCGCATAGATAAAAAAAAATACATACGTTTATGTATGTTTTAAATAATCATAAACTTCTTTCTTTCTTACTATTATAAGCTTGATACTCGATGGCGTTTCGATTCTGAAAAATTTGTAGCCTTGGAGAACAATTATTTTCACCACGGATTGTAGATGCTCATCGGACAATTGCATTTTTTATTATTAATTTCATTTGCGCAAAAATTTGTCCACTTATAAATGTATTCCCAAACAAAGTGATTCTTTTAATGCAAAAATTCATAGTTGAGTTTTTTTTTTTTTTTTTTTTTTTTTTTTTTTTTTTTTATATATATATATATATATATATTTTGATCAGTATGAATAAAAGTTAATAAAATCTGCATTTTCAAATCAAATTTATTTCATACAGTAAACTTATTAGTTTCTTTTATGAAATTTCTGGTGCGTTATTCATGTTCGTTTTCAATTGAAATGTAAATAATATAACTTGGACTTCCAATAACTAAAATTTTGAAATCTTTCAACAACGTATTTGCAACAAATACATAATTAAAATGTCTTCGCGGACCGCATAAAATTGCTTCGGCGGATGCCAGTATGAGACCACTGTGGTAGATCATCTAGTTGAACTAATTAGCAACAAAGACATCGAAAAGTCAGGAACTTCGTGCATAGCGACATCACTTAGTAGTTAGGGTATTTTTGAACAAGTTCCGGTATTCTTTGAATGCTTGTCAAGCAATTTTGAAAGATTATTTCGGCCTTATTTCATTACGAAAGTAATTTGATGTAGCTGAAAATAACTGCTTAAATTATAAGTTAACAATGTATATCATGTATCTAATTAATTTTTCTAAAACAATTTCAGTATTTTGCTTGTACAACTCATTTATATGAATAAATTACGATAATGCAATGCCACCATGTTTCTCAACTACACTGTACAAATTGCTGAATTGACAGGGAGAATGAAAGGTAGTTCTAAAATTGGTTAAAGAAATATGGTACTAACATATTATCCCATCGACTGTAAAACTGTTGCCATGTAGAGCGATTTAGCACCATTTAATAAGCCACGTTTGGTTTTTACGAATGGAAGATATAGATTTACTGTTATTGCTGTTTTTTTCTTTACATTTTGAAATAAAAATATATTAAAATTTGGAACCTTAATTCTATAGAACGCAGACAATGAAAGTTACGGGATCCTACCCTAAAAAAAGTGTATTAATTGAGACTGTGAGGTCAGACGAATTTGGCCGACGAAACAGTAATAGATTAGAGCAATTATCTGCGAGAAGTTTGTACTCACAGCTTCTGGTAAAAACAGAAGTTATTACTTAGCTTCTGGAGAAACCAGAGAGCCTAACAAAATAGTAGAAATTGATGAAAATCTTTTTAAGAAGCGCAAAAACGAAGTGGATCGGTTATTGATTGTTATTAAATAAAGAGGCGTTTGTTCCTTCAGAATTCCTCAGAAACAATTGACGCAGCTTTGACAAGATCTCCGCAAAATATCATGGTTTGATAATAGCCAACTTTCACAGTTGATGGGATAATACGTAAGTAACAAAAATATACTTAATATTACAGATTTTGGTACAAAAGGACCTTATTGAAATATTTTAATTCTGTCAGCTCTACTATTAAGTCATGAATCCGAAAACATCTTGCAAAATTTCTACTAATATATAATTCTATATAAGTTTATATATAGTTTTATATATATAATATATAATTCTATATAAGTTTTATAATATATTCTATATAAGTTTAAGTTTTATTTTTTTATTTATTTAAAAATATATCACAAATAAATAAAAAAATAAAACTTAAACTTATACAAAAATGTAATATAAAAATATGATTATTTTATGCTATAACTGGTAATTAAGTAAAAAGGAGTAAAATTACTGCATGTTTCCGCGTATACATCGATACGTGTAGATGATGAAAGCAAGATTTCGCTGAAACAAATTCAGCCGAAAATGAAAACTTGTAATCGCCTTGAGATTCCAGCTTCATATAATCTCTAAAATTATGTACAATTGATCATCCAACTTAATTAGATTTATCAAACGAGCTGAAAGTAAGTCCCATTTCACCTTCAGCTTCTAATCACAAAATAAGACTGACAGCACTGAAGGGAAAAAACAAGCACTTTGGGCCTAATAGCTTTTCTTTCTCACTTTCTCAATTCTTCCAACTTCTGGATGTGTTCATTACTCGTAGAATTTTACGCAGCTATATATTTAAGTACACAACTATTCTCAAGTAACCCTTCTCAGTAGCGCCCTGACTTTATTTCTTCTATTGTAATTCATTACCTGCCTGGATGGGAGAGGGAAAAGATTGCATATTTTGTTAGCTTTAAATAAAAAATTATTGCTTTTGCTGAGTGATGATTTGAACTGAACTGAAGATGATATGTCCACGAAGTGAACACGAACGACATTAACGACGACTCGGACACCTCAAGCAAAGCGATTTAGCAAAACAATTACTAATCGGATGCTGGTATTAATAAATTTAATTAATGTATATTAGCCCTTTTGCCCTCAGTGGTCTAACATTAAAATTACGTGTTCAAAATTCTGTAGTATACAAGCCAGTAATTTTCTTCTGCAAATGCAGGCATAAATAGGTAGCATATGGCACTCTCTTTCGGCATGTAGTGAAAATTTCAGGATAAGATACAGCATTTCATTAATAGCCGTATTTTCTTGATGTGATAATACTTGTAGGGTGCCATAACGTTGCTTTTTGAGCATTTTGTGCAAAATAACATTTCAATATCGCACGTGCAGTGGTCAGCAAATTATTTTCTTAACGTTAGTGACTTCGTATACTTTTGGCATTTTGTTGACTTGACAATTACCAATTCGTATTTAAAATTCTGTATGAAGAATTCATATTTACAAATTCTCTATGAAGAGTGAAGGTCAATCCTTACGACCGAAAGATTTTCGAATTTCTGAACGAGAGGATTAATATGATTGCGAAAACGTGGAGGTAAATATGAAGACATCAACACATGTGTCAGAAAATATAGACATTTTGTTCCATCTGAGATCTGTTACCAAGAATCAAAGCTGCATAAACTACACCGCAAATATGGGACATATTTGGACACCGCAAATATGGGACAGTCTGTTTAAGAGCACGTCAACTGCCTTAAATTAATGAACATCCAGCATTATTTAAATAATAATATTACTGCAAAATGTATAACTTCAAAATTCAATAGTGTCTTAACAACAAATAGTCAAAATGTCGTATGCCTACAAAATACTCTATGATTATATTATAAATACTTTGAGCAACACAAGTTCTTTTATTCTAGCCTTTCAGCATAAAAAAGTTCAATTTCATTGTAATATATTATTGCATCTTTCATCTCGTATAAAACTGGCTGTGAATTCATTACAGGCACCTAGCCTGAAGGACACCAGTATTTTAAATATGTATTACAACGTATTTTTATGTACTGTAATGTATCTGAAAAGTCCTTTCGAAAATTTCATAAATTCATTATAAGCGACTATCTTGCACTATTCCGGGTTCTTCCAATATTTTGATTCGTTGCTGGAGGGCCTTTCCTAATTTCCTCCTTGGGCCTAAGGGCATGCCCAAGGCTTTCAAATCTTCTTCAGAAAGCAGGGACAATGATTCAAGATCAATTCTTTCGGTCTGAAACAAAGGCATGTATTCGCTCAGACCAATAGAAGTGAGGAAGAGGGACAAGGGCTCGGTAGCATCACAATCCTCTTCATCTGTAACATCATCATCGGTAGCGTCATCATCAGCATCGTCGTAATCGTCAGCCTCGCACTCGTCTTCCCACGTTATATGCCGACGCACCAAACTGCTTGCACTGCCTATGCTGTCATTGAGTGTAGAAAACTCGCTCTTTGAGTTTCGACATGATAGCTCGCCACGGTTCTTTTCAAAGTTCTCATGTGTGTTATTACTGTTGGTGAGAGTGGTGAGGTTGATAATAGCGTTACGGAAGGTAACTGTACCGAAACCAGGCCTATCGAAAATACTAGCATGAGGGGAACCTGTGTCTTGTAACTCCTCTCCTATTCCCGAATCGGCAGTCTGCAAGAAGTCACTGTTGGCGTCATCGCTGGAATGAGTATCAGACGTTTGTCGACTGGGATTATCAGGTGAGGATGTTCCATCGTCGCTTTCCTTAACGGAATATAAATGGTTTCTGTGGATTATTTCATTCCTTTTCAAAAATGGCTTAAGTTGGGAATGGCATTCGGCTGTAGAGTCCAGTTCATCATCCCGGCCAATGATGTCTCCTGGTCTGAAAACCACATTTTTCTTCTTTTTTCCCACGGCAGCTTTCTTGGCAACAGCACCATGGTCTTTCTTCTCTCCTACACTGACTATATCGGAGAACTTTGGCGCATAGAGAAACCTAAATAATAATAATAAATAAATAAATAAAAATTTCGAATAACAAAATTAGAAAAATTAACAAATACATACACTGTTCGAAATAATCGTTCAAAATAAGTACTTAACTAATTTTGGAAGATATTGTTTTCAAAATAATATGAAAAACTGGTTTGGATACTTATGTACTATTGCGACCACCTTAGAAGTCAAATTTTCAGAACGGTCCAAACTTTGGCAACCATGCGCATAATCATTCTTTAGGCAACCATGCTCCTAAGAATCCTTCATTCAAGCAACGTCACCATTTCCATATGCATTCTTTTTGTTGCATTTCAAGAACCAACGTATTTTATAAACGAATAGCGGCTTTTTTGCCTTAAACTGGAATTTAAGATATATGGGTGTGGAATTTTCCAGTGATGGAAGAAAATGCGTTAAAATGTCTGCGGATTATAATACAGCATTTTGCCGCACAATAGCTGAAGGGAACAACTGTTTTGAATCTGTTATTAAAGCGATCACCACGAAATTTCCTCCGAACAAATGAAATAAAAACAAGCTTGTAAACAGGTTCAGTAAATTATTTTTGTTACAATTACCTAATCAGAATGTAAAATGTATGCGTAATAATATTTATGTATGTAATAAGTTTCTGTAACTGAATGATGACTTAAACATTTAATAATCATGTGAACCTAAACATTCTTTTTCTTCTCTAAAAAAAACATCAGATTTCGTCAAGTTGGTTACGTTAATACCTTAGTACTCCGGTTTGTTTTAGGGTTTCTGTAGTCAGAATTTAAATCGACATTACTCGAATTTTAACTTAAATTCGGATTTATAATTTGAAGAAAAGTATGAAATTTTACAGTAAAATAGCTCTCATAATTTTAATTCAGAATGCCAGTTTGAAACAGAAAGTTTCCTTCAAACTCTATTATATTTGTAAACCACTTTTTTTTAAAAAAAATCTGAATTACTTTGTATTACTCAAGATCTTTAATTGATCTCAGATAAAACAAAACGGTCTCAGATAACGTACGAAAACGAAATAAAAAAATGTATAAACGAAAATTAATTAAAAAATTTACTTTGAGAAGTAAAAGACATTTCAGTTTGGTTTATTTAATTATGGCAAAGCACACGAGGGCTATCTGCCTAAGGGGAAATGCCTACGTGGAGGATTTTAAGGGAAACAGGCTCGTATACACGTTATACAAGGGGAAAACCACGAAAACGTCCATGCAGCCAGCCCGCCTGGAATCGAAGCCAAACAGACATTTCGGATCTCACATTAACGAAGAAAAAGTGAAAATTCGCCAAACAGAGCGAATAGTTGGCAACTTTGGCAACATAAAGAATTGCTATTGTAACCGTATGTCATCGCTAAGTTTTTAAGTACTACATCTATAAGCCTCAATTTTAGGAAAGAAGAGTTTTCTAATTCGATCATGGATCTATGGGATCAATCAAACGGTGAGGGTGATGCTATTAAGTTTCTCATAAGAAATAATATATTACCGAGTAACTTTCAGTGTTCCAACACAAAATATCGAGCGAGTTTGAGGTTCTTCAAAATGGTGGAACACAAAACATAGGGATGTATAAACGACATCATTTGAAGTGGTATTTAGCGGAGTTCATGTGGCAGCAGAAAGTTGTAGGTCAGAGTAAAAAATCATTCGAAGCTATTTTAGAAGCGACTGTCAAACATTTTCACCCGAAATAAAGAAAAACTAGTTGCATCCAGTTACCACCAGTCTATCTCCGTTAACACGTAAATACCGATATGTCTTTATTTGAACCACAGGCGAGTTCAAATTTCTTTTCACGTAGTTTTCAAGTGCATCACACTAAATGATAATCGAATTAAAGCTCTGAATAAATTTCCACTATATATCCAAATATATGCGAGAAAAAGCAGTCCCGACTGCGACGACATAGCGATCCGCAGGAGACCAAGCGAAGCCGAGGACTGAAAGTAGTCTTTGAACTTATTTAACATTGTCGTTGGTGATCAACGAGGATGGAGGATCTATCTTGACAGGTGAAACTCTGTATACTGAAAGAATTTACTTCTCGCGCATTTTGAATAGCACTGCAATAGCTATAATAGACTTAATTACCTTAGAATAATAATAATAATAATAGTACAATTATACACAGCTTTGACCAACATATGTCAAGTGTCCACTGACAATATTTGGTCTTATTTTGGAAAGACTGTGATTGTGTTATGTGATTATGGTAAGGTCTCAAGAGCTATCTGCCTAAGGGATGAGATGCCTCCAGTAAGAAATACATATTTGTATACAGATAAGAAATACATATTCAGAGTAAGATTAACACATCAATGCAAGGAAATTAACATTCTTAGAATATAAAGACAAGCAATGCTATATATACAACTGGGTAATAAAATTTTAAAACTGTAATTGTATAAAATTTTGAAACTGGAAAAAAAAATAGTTCTGGAGTTCATTCTCTATAAACAATTATGTGACAGTTCGATTTCATTCATTGTTCAATTTAACTGTTCAGTTCTGAGTGCAAGATATTGTTCATATTATATAAGCAATCATAGTGCAGTTCGTTTCTATTCATAGCTCAGTATAACAGTTCGATTTTAAGTGCAAAATAAAGTCCATCCTACTTCACAGTTAGAGTAAGTTTGTAGAGACATTAGGTAATTTTGTCTCGTTACACACGGGAAAACCACGAAAACTCTCATGCAGCCAGTCTGTTCGCGGGATTCGAACCTGGGACCTAATTATCAGTGTTCAGCGACTTTACCGCTCGACCACTGGTGGGCGTTTCGTGAAGATGCATGACTGTAATATTTGTATTTGTATAATGAAGTGAATGCTGAACTTTTATTTGAAAAATATTTAGATAACTAAATTTTCCAAGCGTGGACTTATTGCTTTTAGAGCTTTCTTAATACGTTATCAAAGCTGCAAGCTATTCGTTGAGTGCACGTCGTAAAAAACATTTCAGAGAATCTTCGCTTTCCGGATATCTGATTGGCGTTAGAAACCCTGTCTAATAAATCATTGTTGGGAGAAACATATTTCTCGGAAAAGTTTTATCTAGCGTTGAGCGTAGCTAAAGATCTGTGGTAGCCCCATTACTGGCTTTTGAACCAAAGACATCCTCTATGTTAAGAAAAGGAGGAAAACAAAACCCGGAAACCAAATTTATGTGATTCATCTCGTTGTCAGCCAACCAACGGCTGAGCGGTAAAGACGCTGAACGCTGGTAATTCGGTCCGAGGTTCGAATCCCGCGAACGGGCTGGTTGCATGGGCGTTTTCGTGGTTTCCCCCATGTGTAACGTGTATACGAGCCAGTTTCTCTTGGAAAGTCCTCCACGAAGCCATTCCTCTCTTTAGGCAAATAGCCCTCGTGTGCTTTGCCGTAATTAAATAATCCAATCATCTCGTTGTCATTTTTAGTTTAGAAAGCATAGAACTGGAGTCCTCGTGCAGCACCTCCAGATATTTTTTTTTCCCGTTATTGCTTAAAAAAAGCTCCGTATTTCGTTTGCAGTACGATAACATTAGTGGTAGACAGACAGCTATCGAAACCCGGCTTGGAAATCTCCATATTCCCCCCTTATTAGAATGATCACCACACATATTGTCAACGCAAACATATAATTAACATTTATTTAATTAAAATTTAAAAATTTAAATAATTGAGAAAACAAAATATCTTAAGACTAAAGAAAGAGCAGCTTACATCTAACAGACAAACATATATTAAAGAAGCTTATTAATCTTCTATTTTTGATGATTTAAAATATGGTTCTACTCTCATATGCGACTTAATATCACCAAATGTGGCGATATGTGTGTTCTGCGCTGGTTTTTGGCGCGATTGCGTATTGTATGGCAACCCTGTTGACGTTGAAAAATCTTTTGCTGGAGTAATTGCGCGTTGATTCGTGTCGTGTGTGTTTTGAAATGGCCTGTGGTGCAATGAGAGACATGGTGGCAAGAGTTCAGTCGCCTATTTTAGATTGTGTGCAAAGGAAATTTAGTATTAAAAGGTACGATGTTGGAGTTGTTAACGAGTCTGCTTCGTATAATGCTTCTGAGAAGATAGGGGTGGAAAGATAAAGTGGTGGAAGTTGATGAATCGAAGTTCGGCAAAAGGAAATATCATCGTGGCCACCCTGTTGAGGGGCAGTGGGTATTTGGAGGTGTGGAAAGAAGGTCTGGGAGATTATTTTTAGTGACTGTGCATGATAGAAGTAGGGCAACGCTGATGCAGTGTATTAAAAAGTGGTACAACTATTTTTTCGGATGGATGGAAATCTTACAAAGATTTAGGAAAAGACGGTTTTGAACATTCATTTGTGAACCATAGTATGAATTTTCTGGATAGTGTGTCTGGCTGTCATATAAATAGGATAGTGATTACGTGGCAGCATGTTAAAGGCGGTATGAAATTGATATTTCTGCTGTTTGAAAAAGCATTCATGCATGGTAAGTGCATTTTATTTTATTCTTGTTCTTATTTTCTTGAATGTTATGTTCATTGTTTTTTTAGTACGAATTTCTGTTCTTATTGTTGTTTTTTTTTAATTGTTTGAAATTTATTTTAGTTATTTTAGTTTATTTTGTTGATTAGTGCATAGTGCCTAGGTTGTGCAATTCGTAGATGTTTTTTAAAGTTGAAACAGAACGCTGTGTACATGGTATTCTTTGAAATTTACTATTGTTATGTTAATTTATTAAAGCGAAGTCTGCGTAGTTCGTAGATTCGTTCGTTCCCTAGATTGTGCAATTCGTAGGTGTTTTTTTAAGTTAAAACACATCGCTGTGTACATGGATTCTTGTCAAATATTTTTGGTTAGAAACCTTACGTTTTTGCTTTGTAAATTTTTTTGTTTTGGATTTTTAGCTTAATTGTATGTTCAAAACGTGGTTTTTGGTTTTTGCATATGCGAAAACCGCGTTTTTGGAGACACTTTAGGCTTAAAATTCGAAATATAGACAAAAAATTTATATAGTAATATGGCAGCGTGAAGTTTCTCGTCAAAAATGTTTGGCAAGTAATTTGGCGACCTGAGGGCGCATATAAGAGTAGTTCCAAAAATATTGTTTTTAATTTTTCTGTCAATAAAAAAAAGTACTATTCAGTTTTGAGGACTAAAAAATGGCCAAACTATTCTTGATGCCAGTGCTGCCAAAAATAACTGCAGCAATCCTAACGCAAAAAAAAAAGGAAGTATAATAGTAAATAACTATCTAAAGGTTATTGTTTTAATTTATATGAAAGGTTAATTTCATATAATACTTTTTTATTATTATAATTTATATAAAAAAGGCTAAACATAACTGAATGGATTCCTGCATCGCTATTTCACTACCGAGTCATCGCTAAAGCATAATTTCATTTCGTTGGCTGTTCAAATATAATTTTCTATAATGAATGATGCCTTTTCTTTGCGAAATTCTATTGCAGACTTTTCGTCATGGTCAATTCCCAAATTGTTAAATCTATAGGATATCAAAAAAGGATTAAAAAATTAAACTAGTATTTAAAGGCGTCTTAAGAAATATAGAACTATCTAAACTTACGCAATCTGAAATCAGCTCGTACGCTAGATTTAGCGCGCTGTTAAATGGGCGCGTTTGCTAGATTTGGCGCTTTTGCACGTACATTTTCGATGCAATTTTTTACGGTCCTCGAAACGGAATAGTACCAAAAAAAGTTACAACTGTTTTGTTTAAATTCTGAAAATTTGCATATAGCTCCATCAAAATTTATGTTTTTAGCTATTACATTTTCAATGGAAAGGATTGCCAAACCTTGGTTCAATATTGATCGAAGATAATTTTTAATCAACTTCAACTTTCAAAAGCTTTTCTCGCAGCTGAAACACACACTGTCAAAAAAGTGGTTAGTTCTAAATATAAGTTAGATACTGATTCTTAGAAAATCATTTTGCCACTTTATATTTTCAAATGCATTGACTTTAACACTGTCAAATGCAAAACACTTTTTAGCTTCGTCCTTTTTTATATTCCTAACATATAACATATGTTTAAAAACTTAAGGTTCCTCGAAGCCCCCTTATCAGAGGTCCTCGATGATATGAATGGGAAAAAATGGCATTTCCTGTAACAGAGAAAACTTAGTTGGGAAACTTTCCAATAATCTCTAACTGACCTGGAATCTTTCCTGAAAGAAGGCAACATCAGTCTCTGAACGTCGGACTGTCTCTCCTTTTCCTCTTTCTCAGCTCGCTTTGCCGCTTTCATTTGCAGCTTTTTGTAGTTTTTAATCCTTTTCTCTGCATCATATACACTCTTCTCCTTTAACCTTTGGACCAATTTCTTGTTGACAAGAGCGTGTTTCGATTGCGCTTGATCTAGCAACCTGAGAACGTCATTTTTGTGATTAAGCACAGCAACATCTTTGGCGGTGTGGAAATCGTTGTCCAGAGCCCACAAATTGACTCCAAAGTTGACCAGAAAGGATACGCAGTCGATGTGGCCGTTGCCGGCAGCACAGTGGAGGGAAGTGTTGCCGTAATGGTCACATTTGTCCGGGTCCCCTCTGAAATGAAACAAAAATTTTGTTTAAAATTAAGTTTTGTTATAATTTGAAATTCAAATTGCTCTTTCGAATATTAAATCAACAAACTGAATGTTACACATCCAACATAAAGAAATCTACAGGTGCAGTTACAGAGGTGCTAAGTCAGTATCTGCACTACCATAAGTGATTGAGGTACTGCTGAAGCTACTTAAACTATCAAGCTCCTACGCCAATGGAATTCCGAGAAAGAAACCTCCCGGCTGGGCGGTTCGAGGGTCTCCCAACCGTCTTCCCTTACCACTAACCTCCATGATGTCCCATTTTGGGCTTCCCCAGTTCACACTCTCTGGAGGTGGCAACAAGAATCGTGCCATTTCAGATTTTTTTTTTTTTTTCTTCCTTGTGGAGGTGTTTTGAATGAGAACATCAAAAATCCGTTCTGTTTTTAACTTTTCATTACAAATGATGAACCTATTGCAGGACTAAAATTGTAAGGTTAATTCCGTGTATTTTAAGTTACTCCGGAATAAATTGTGAGTGAAACAAAGGAAATCCAAAAAAGGAGCTTCTTAAGATGTATAAAGAACAGCTATTCCAGCCAGAAAAGAAGGCAAATCTTCTGTTATAATATCATATATAACTCGGTTCTGCAGATGGTTGTACAAAAATCCAAAATCATTTTTCTGTATATGGTTTAATCCTTTGCACTGAGGCCTTTCTCGTTCAGGCTAACCAGCAACTCGAGACGATAGTCTGTATACTTGGTGAATTTATTACAGCTATTTTAAAATGATTTCTCAAAAATTTAATGTTTGTGTATGAAGATAGTTGCAGTCCAGTGGCTCTTTCGCCGGATACAACTTTTGCTTATATCTTCGGATTCTGTGCTGGTTATCCATTTTGAATTTTCTGTCTCTTCTGCGGAATTATTGTCACTTTTACATCCACTTTTTACTAAGCCTGATTTTTCGCCTTCTTACACCTCTTACTTCATCCCTATCTACGTCACTGTTTACCTTCTCACTGTCGTCAAATAGTGTATGCATATACGTATTTTCATTCATCAACGGAAAAACGAACTCATCTTCCCTTGAACTGATTCCTTCATTGTGTTCGATGCTTATTGGGCAATTTAACATTGAAAATAATATTCCTGTTGCGACGGTTGTTGAGTTTGAGTTAACGTCAATTCGCATATATAAAAATAAATCTAAAAAGTCTGATGTGTAAACCACATGACTTCCTTGTACGGAATATTAAATTATATGCATTTTTTTTTCATTTTATTTAAACTTATTGGATTGAATTAAATATACTTCGTCGACAGCGCATAAACTACAATACAAATGCACTCATTAAAATTCACTATATTTGTTTACCATAGCGACACTCTGGCGCAAGGTTCACTTAACAGCGTTATATTTCGTTAATATTATAACTATGTCTAATCACTTAGTAAGAGGCAATCGACCATTAACGGCCTTTACCAATATATTATACTTGACTTTTAAATGCTTGAGGAATCGAGTAAGTTGTATTCAATAACATGGAAGTACTTGCGCACATGCTGTGCTAGAACTCAGAGATTACTAACTACGGAGGCTCCTGTACCGCCATCCGTAGAATAAGTAAACTTGAACAAATGAGGCGCTCGTGTGGCGCCATCTATTAGTAAGGATGAAAAGCCTTTTAGTTGACTGAAGCTCTGGTTGCGCCATCTATTATTAAGGATGAAAAGCATTTTAGTTGACTGAAGCTCTGGTTGCGCCATCTCTTGCAGGATGTATTGTACGGCATTTCTAAAATTTCATAAAAATTATTCTTCTGATAAGCAATAATTGGAAAGTGGAATGATGAAAAACACAATTTGCAATACATTGAAACGTTTCATAGGCGTAAAAACTGCACTCATGTCCATAAATTAAGGATAATTCAGAGTCACGCGGAAATCGAACTCTAAAATAAATATATCACCTGTAAAATCACTACACACATCATCAAGAATCATATGCAAATTTCAGGAAGTAACCAGATGACACCGATTGTACGTCACAATGACGAGAGTGTAAGAGAGTGATATATAAGGAATACAGGCAAAGAAGTAAAATTGTTCGCAGGCGCTTTATAACCATTTCAGGGCAATAACCGAATAGTAATGACACAAAGGACGTATTTGGATGATTTTTTACGTGGTAGAATTATCGGCCGTCTGGAATGTGGGCGTACCCAACTGGAAGTATCAGACGAACTTGGAATTGCCCAGAGTGTCATCTCCAGGCTTTGGCAACGATTCCAATGATGGCAATGTGAGTAGACGTTACAGCACAGGTCGCCCCAGAGTTACAACGCCGAATGAGGACCGGTATTTGGCAGTTACTGCCAAAAGAAACAGGCGGAGCACAGCCTCACACCTGTCTCGTCAGCTCTCTTCAGCCACTGATACGACAATTTCAAGGCAGACCGTGTACAGATGCTTAGGACAGATTGGTCTATATGCTCGTAGACCTGTCAGATGCGTTCCACTTACTGCAACTCACTGTCGCCTGCGGTTAGCCTGGAGTAGAGAGCATGCATTGTGGACACCGCAACAGTAGGCTTGTGTGATGTTTTCCGACGAGTCCAGGTTTGGCTTCCAGTCTGATTCTCGCCGGACTTTCATATAGAGAGCTTCAGGTACCCGTTACCACCAAGAAAAACATCATTGAACGACACCGTTACGGTGGTACAGGAGTGCTCGTTTGGAGTGGAATTATTCTAGGTTCCAGAACTGACTTGCATGTTCAAATTGTAACCATGACAAGCCAAATCTATCGGGACGTCATTCTAGAACAACATGTACGTTTGTTTCGGGGCGCCATGGGCGCACAATTTGTGTTTATGGATGACAACGCCCGTCCTCACCGTGCAAACATCGTAAGCGAATGCCTTGAATCGGAGGATATCACCCGTATGGACCGGCCAGCATTCTCACCGGACTTGAATCCAGTAGAGCACGTGTGGGACATGCTTGGCCGACGAGTTGTAGCCCGTCAACCTTCTTCTACATGTCTACCGGAACTTCGGAGAGCATTGCTTTTTGAGTGGTGTAATATCCCCCAAGATCAGATCGATAATTTGATACTCAGCATGCCTAGGCGTTGAAACGGACTGTATTACATCGTCTGGGAGACATACAATGTATTAAGAATCATAGCAAACATGTAATATTGGTTTTTTCTAAGTAAGTCTTTTTTGTAATTTGCTCCAGGGAGAAAAAATCGCTATTTTTTTAATAATATCAAACACATAGCATCTTTTTTTGCTCTTCACCTTTTGTTTAATAAATAAGCTTTACAAATAAGTCAAATTTGTTTTCCTTCTAACTCTTTCTTTGCCTGATTTTGCATTATCCTTCCTTAATTTATGTACGTGAGTGTATTTAAATACAAAGTCTACCTGCTTTGGCAGGAACAAAGTCCACAGCGCATTGTAATTTGATAAGTAAATCTATATGTAAAGAAAATGAAGTAAAATCTTGGCTAAATAAGAAGAAAACGAAAATATATACGTTACCACCGACTATTATGGTGAATAGTGCGGGGCCTCTTGTGGCGTTGTTCAATTGTGAAATCATAATTTCCTAGTTTTTTGATGATCTTCTTAGGATGACTGTCACATTTCATAAAAAAGTTATGAGAAGCTTTTAGAATTTCAGAATCCGTGGGTTTAATTTTTAAGTCATTGTGAAGAGTGCTGTTTCGTACGAACCAAGGCGCATTTGTAATTATTTGAATGGCCTTGTTTTGAATTCTAAGTAATTTTTCGCGATGAGTTCTTGCAGTTGCAGCCCAAGCTTACAGTAAAATCGGGCGGAGAGCGTGTAGATAAATAACTCTTTTTGTAGCGAGATTAAGTTTAGAATATTAATAACAATATTATAACTCAGAAAGCACAAAATTTATATTATTTGAAGAATTATCTAATCGTTGCCCCATGTTCTATTCGAAAATTATAATAAATCTAGAACGATGTATAAAAGAAATTAAGCAAACAAAACAAAACAAAACAAAACAAAACACACACACACCCACACACACACACACACACAAAAAAAAAAAAAAAAAAATTCACAGAACGATTTAGTATTTCTCATTCAATTAATTCAGTTCTCACTTCGCGACAAGGCAATAATACATAAAAACTCAAAATATCTATATTAAAAATCTGATGTGTACACTACATGACTTCCTTGTACGGAATATTAAATTATGCGCATTTTTTCTTGCATTTTATTTAAACTTATTAGATTGAATTAAACCTACTTCGCCGACAGCGCATAAACCACAACAGAATAAATGCATTCTTTAAAATTCACTTTGTTTACCATAGCGACACTCTGGCGCTAGGTTTACTTGACAATATTATATTTCATTCATATTATAACTCAGAATGCACAAAATGTATATCATTTAAAGAATTATCTAATCGTTGCCACATGTTCTATTCAAATACTATAATCAAGCTAGAACTATGTAATAAAAGAAATTAAGCAAATAAAACAAAAGAAACAGTTTTTCACAGACGATTGAGTATTTCTCATTTAATTCAGTTCTTACTTCGCGAGAAGGCAAAAATACAGAAAACTCAAAATATCTATATTAAAAAATTACGAAGTAAATTTCAAACGCTTATTTCCTCGAAAAAATTCCAGAAAGAATTAAGCATGATTTAATTGGCAATAATAAATGAATGCGTTTATCTTTGTTGTTGCGAAGATAAGTTTTCTCTAGATTGGCAACAAATCCACTAGTCTCCTGTTTCAAATGTAAACATCAATGGCCGCCATTAAAACAGGCTTAGCGGCAATTAAACAACTTTAAATTGCTTGATAATTCTAAAAATATTGCACACAGATTTACTAAAGGCATAAAATCCTTAACCGGAAGATAAAACAATATAATTCAATCATTTTTAAAGAAAAAAATGTACAATTTACAAACATATAAAAGTAACGAAACGGAGATCACTGAGCCGGGTAATAGAGTGGATATATATATAAATATATTTATACCAAAATACGAGGTGCACATCTACATGTTATAGCAGTCCTATATACAAAATTTCAACGTTCTGAGGCTACTCGTTTTTGAGTTATGCGAGATACGTACGTACGCACGAACGTACGTACATACGTTCGTACAGACGCCACGAAAAATTCTCTTCAGAATTCATTTTAAAGCAGTTTTATAATTTTTTAAGGAAAAGAGTATTTTATTCTGTCCTTACGTACAGATGTCACGCAAAAACATCGTTAAATTGCATTCGCTAGCGGTCAAAATGGATATTTTCGTTGAAATATGCTGCCTGAAACTTTTCGCGATTACAATACTTCCTT